CGGTCAGGCGTGTGTCTGCCTGGCCGCTCATTGGCAACTTAAGAAGACAGTTGGCAGTCAGCAAAGACAAGTAGGAAAGAAATAGAAGAAAGTAGGACGCATTGGTACCAACGTCATGGCCATCGCTGGCTGTGACGTTGGTGCGTCGTTACAGTTCTGCTCCAGATCATCGTAGGAGGTCTTCACAATGACCAGCTCGTGGGCATTGACAATACTCTGCCCCACCTCAGACATTGTGGTTGTCGACGTCGTCTCCTCAAAGGCAACTTCTGTCTCGTTCGGCTCACGTAGTTCCTCTCTCTCCGTTACGCTCTTAAACTCATCGTCGGCTGTAGCTTTCTCCTCCTCCAAATTCTCCTTCACATCTGTCACTACATGGCTCGTTTTAACCCCTCTGTTACCGCAAAATGAGTCCGTGAACCACTAATTTTACGTCATAACTTACGGCGTAGCTTTTACCAGCGCGTTTGTATGGTGCTGTATCTTCCACTTGCCTATCCAAAACGATGGGAGGTATACGTTCTCAAAGGTTTTGACACGCTACGTCGTATATCATACGACGTAAGGATGACCCAAACGACACGGACACCGACACTTACGACTTTGTAAGAGTGAACATAAAAATTAAAACGGGAAGACGCAAGCGAATGCACACATAGAGCAGGGCTTTTCGATGACTGACATGCTAAAAGAGGAACAGACACAGAGCATATGGTAAAGGACGTCACATTTATGAAGCAATGAACACACTCATCGTCAGGGGGGATAACTAAGGAGGGCCTCCAGCTGGGATTAGTTGTCCTCATCGTCTGGCGTTCCTTCGCATTCACGGTTCGGCCTCCTCGTCAGCACCCTCATTGTCTTCGCGGAGAATCTCACGACGAGTCTTCTTGCGGACGCCGACGGTTTTGGGAGCGCGGCGCAGCACGACTCGCTTGCCAAGGTGTGCTGGGATCCTGTCACCGCACGCGAAGTCCTCGTGCCACACTTGGATGCAAGTCTTGTCGCCACCTCTGCGCGCCTTGCCACACAGGTAGAACTTGGCGTCGCCGTTGGAGCAGTCCGGGCAGTAGTAGGTCGTCTGGAACGACTTTTTGAGCTCGCCTCGATACAGCGAGCACACCTTGCACGACCGCTGACGCCTCTTCTGGATGCCGCCCCTCACAGTCACCCAGTCGTTGAACTGCACGAGCGTGTGCCCGGAGAATGCAGGGCGCCGTCGCTTGCGTGCTGCTGGCGACGGAGTGGGGGCTGCCATGAAGTCTTCGTCCTTGAGCTGTAGCAGCTGCTTGTGCAGCATGCTCAACCACTCGTATCGCTTCATGGGCGCCTCGCCGGCGAGCCGACTGGCCTCTTTATGCGTGAGGTACGCGTTGACGAGCGCCAGGTCCAGTAGTCCGAGGAAAAGACTCTTATAATACTTCCGGAACCTGAAGGAGAGCTGGATGGAGGAGGACTGGAGGCGGAGCTGGTCATGCACGTCGACTCCTCCCATCCAGCGCTGGTAATCCGTCACCAACTTCGGGCACTTGAACATCGAAGTCCCGAGCCCCTTCAGGTTTCGCTGGATCCTGTCCTCTGCCATGGACACACCTGTCGCGAGGTAGTGGACCGGCTTCCGGTCCCACCAGAGGCACGAAACCATGGTCGGCACTGCCGTCGATCTTGCGAACTTGAAGGATCCACGCTCGATGCGCCTTGGTCGCGTCTTATGCTCCGCTACGATGTCGCGGTTGAAGCCCAGGCGGTTCGTCATGATCGTACCGATCACGTAGATTGATATAGAGAGAAGCTGGATGGCGAGGGCTACGGACGAATAGAAGCGGTCGATGACCACAACCCGGAAGCCACGATGCCCAGCTAGAACAGTGCTCAGGTTGCGGATGACTGCCGCAGCGCCCGTCTTACGGTCATATGCCTGCGCAGCAGACTCGCTGGCTTGGCGTTTTCCGACATAGATCTCAAACCTGAAAGATACGACATTGAGAGCACGGTCAAAATCATAAAGTCATAACTTACGACCTAGCAAATCATCCAAAAAAACATTCGTCGCTTACCGGTGGCAGTACGCAGTCAACGAGTCGCATGTCACAAACATCTTGGTCCCGTAGCGGTGAGGCTTGTCTGGCATGAACATCCTGGTCGTGTTGCGTCTGGATGTCGCCGGCAAGACACCTTCGTCAAACGAGATGATGTTCGGCGGCTTCCACGCGCTCAGAAACCGTTCCTGCAGTACATCAGCAACGTCACGGATCTTCCACAGCTTGTCTTGACGGTTCGGGCTGTCATTGTTCGCGAAGTGTAGATCGCGCAGGATCGACGTGCAGCGGTTCCGGCTCATGTACTTGCCGAACGCACCTGCACTTAAAGCACCATCGTCGGTCATTGCCCAGTGCTGCGAAAAGCGTCGGGTGGGGCTCAACATATGAGCCACGAGAAGCCCAATAACGCACAAGATCTCGCGCGGTGAGTAGTCGTTCTCCCGACGAATACGGCGTCGAAGTTCACGAAGTGTACGCATATTCTCCGTTCTGGACGTCCGCGATCGTTCATAACGCGCTTGATGGTCCACCGTCTGCCTTTTCATCCGGTTCGTCTCTTTGGTGATCCGCATCCACAGGCGCTTCGGTAGGAAATAAAACATCAATTCAAGAGGTGATTCTTTCTTCGAGCAAAGTTCTGGTGTTGGATGGGCGGTCTCCTGCACCAATCCGCGAAAGCAGGACACATCGATCGCAAAAACTGTCGAAGGCGCGCTCCAGGCAAAGTTTCGCAGCGCTTCCTGGTCCATCTGCTCGATGGACAAGGTGCCACCCAGGGCCTCAATGAAAGCGGCATCCATGTAGGGCGACTCCTCGTCGTCCGAAACCTCGTCCTCGTCTGGATCAGGACGGACAGGCTCCACGTCGTCGTCGTCAGAAAACTGGCCGTAGTCGGAGCCTGAACTCAGACTCTCGTACTCCTCTCTAAGATCTCCAGCCTTCATCAAGTTTACATCAGCTGGATCGCGTGGTACAACTGGTCCTCCAGCGTCGTCACCCTCGCTGGCGTCTCTCGGCTCCTCCACCGTGTCGTCCTCAGAGTCTAGGTCGGGCTCCGTCTCCGAGAGCAGCCGCTGGAAAGCTCCGATCACGACACTCTGGTCTGAGTCATGCACCGCGTCAGCACGTAGCGGGGATAGCCCAAAAGCTCTCCCAACCGCGTTCTGCGACAACGCAGGTGTGCCATCGTCCTCGCTGTCACTTCCGAACAGCGCGTCGACTGTGTTGGCCGAGAGGGCCACATTGCAATCAATCTGCGACGCTCGCACCATATCTCCATCACCGCTGTCGCCCCCACCGCTCCCAGCTTCACCGCCGCCACCGCTCTCAGCTTCACCGCCCCCACCGCTCTTGCCCTCACCGTTATCTCCACTCTCCTCGCCACTGCTGTTGTCCTCTTCATCCTGAATCAGTCCGGTTGTGATCGCGTGCTCCACCACTGCTCTCTCACCTACCACAAACCAAGTTAGAAATGACGCATAGTAATACTGCAATAGCACAACATACCGTAGAAGACAATCTCGCCTTCTGCAGGAACCTCGCTGGACGGCCTGACGTACGTTCAATCGTTTGACAGTCCGGTGGGAGGCTTCGACCGCCACCCCGCGGCCTTGAGCTGGCGCCACAGGTGGCCGAAGTCTACCAGGCGCGGATCCAGGGCGGGCGCTGACACCGACGCTTGAGCCTCAGCTTTGGTCCTTGCGCTCACAGAGACCGGCATTTTGCTTACGTCTCAGCCGGCAAAATCTCGAATGGCTGAGAGTGCCCGAAGACTTCTGGCCACTCATCAAATGATGACAGTTGGAAAGGTCCACTTGAACCCTTTCCTCGTACTGTCTTTGTGTGTGCAGCAAAAACCTCTCCAGCCTTATATCCGATCGGCCCCAATTCCAGAGTCCTCAATGCGTTTACTAGTTTTAATACTAAATCGGTAAGATGTTAGATCGTAGCAGAACACTTTGACTCGTAGCTTGCAGAGCAGCAGCTTGGTAGGCTGGCACGTCAGCCGTTCCATTACCCGCGGAAGGATCCTACACTTTTGGATTTAGTATCTTCAGGCTTTCCTGCATGGATATTGATCGATCGGTTTTTTTAACCAAAATTTAGTACCGGTTAAGAAATATTTTTTAACGGTCTTTTATCGATGTTTGCATTTTTAAATCATTAGAGAGAGCGAGCTGATTTGAGCGGCATCACTGAAGCCAAGAAGGACACAGCATCGACCGGCTGACACAAGACAAAAACTAGAGCGACCGATCCGGTTGTAGTGTTTGCATTGCGTGATTCCTATACAGAGAATTCAGCTAAAACTTGAAAGTGCCAACGCAGCAGCAAGTGTTTCCTGCTCTGGGACTGTTATTCTTGATGAGGCGTCGAGGGTGAGGCGAAACTAATCTGTACATGTAGCCAACAAATTGGTTTGAAATCCATATTTTTCATAGAAGACCATACCTGGATCATGCCCCAAAAACGCGTAATCCGTTGGCTGTTGCTGAGATGGTAATGCTCCTCGTTTGCGTTTCGTCTTCTTGCCTGCATACAATTCCGTAAGATCTATTGCTGTAATAAATGTCTTGATATTCGTTTTTCTCAATCGTGAGCACAAGTATTCAGGTGCCTTTGGCGAATTTTCAGCATGTTTCCTCCATGAATGCATAGATACCCTATTGCTGCTTTCTGGTGGCAAATATCGTTTGATCTTGTTTGAATGAACTTAAAACAAGAGCGATTTACCGATCCGAGTTTACATGCTATAATAGCGATTTAAAAATGATAAAACTATTCGAACGTAATGATATATAACTGAGACTCGAAGAACATTTAGTTTGATCTCATGTAAAGGTAATGGTCGTAAAGCTCAGTCGGTACTTATCAAACTTACATACGCTTCAGTGCTGAATACTGCCCATCGTCATTATACGCTTTTACTACTATTTAAGAAGGTTGGTTTGCACATTCTTTAAAACAAGACCGGTATATTATACCCGCTACGACGGGAGAAGGGGGGGGGGTTAGTTGTTGAGAGGTTCTGGGTTGACTGTGAGTGCAGCTCCATACGCAAGGCTGGCTACGCTAACATTGAGGCTATTCCTCACTTGGTCGAGAGGCCACTCAAATACTCTTCCAGCTCCTCGAAATCATCAGCTCCAAAATTCATCACGTCGTCGGCATCGTCGCCAGCTTTTGGCGATAAGCCTTCGAGGCCCTTAAGCTCAGCGTCAAGCAGCTCCAACTGAGGGTCGATCTTGCCATCCGGAAGACTTGCCAGCTCACTAGAGAACGACTGAAGGCCCAGCTCCTTCTCCAAGTTCTTCATCTCATCGAACTCTTTCGACAGGTCAGTAGAGTCAACCTGTCCGCTTGTAGGCACCGCAGCCTTCTCCTCCCCAACGTCTGCAGCGGCCTTGGCCAACGCTCCTCTTGTCAAAGACTCGAGCTCGTTCATAAGTTCCTTGTCCTTCTCCTCACTCCAGCTTCCCTCGCGGTTAACCTTCTTCGCACCGACTGTGTCTTCGTCTGCGCCACTAATACTGAACGAATTCTGTTTCTGCGCAGCTTGTGCCTTTCTCGCTGCTTCGGCTTCAGCTTCAGTCTTTGCCTTAGCTTCGGCTTCGGCAGCAGCTTCAGCGGCGGCCTTCGCGTCCGCCTCCGCCTTCTTCTTCTTCAGCTGTTCCTCACGTTGCTTTTGAAGGCGCTTTTTCCTGTCTTCAATATCCTGCCAAAAGGCTTCATCCCGGTGAAGCATGTCTTCGTACGCTTGGCGGTCCTCCTCGTTCAGCGAAACGCCTTCACTCTTGGGACTATTGACGGGCTCATTTCCACTCGTGCTAGCAGTTGGAATTTTCCCTTCAGTTTCAACATCTGCAAAGATCAAGTCGACAAAGAAGTCCTGGTCGAAGCGAGGGTCACTACAGGCACCATCCAGCTGGGCCTTGGTCAGCCTGTGATAAATCATTTGCACTCAATGAGCTCTAGTACCGTTAGAAAAATCTCAATAGAGCGGCGATGACGTACCTCAAAATGCCCTGCGGGATGTAACCCGTGTGGAATGCGCCACGGAACATCGAGACGCGTTCTCCAGCATCCGTGAGATGGCGACAACGTATCAAAATGTCTCCCTGCAGCATACAGTTGACGTTGAACGACACCGAGCCGTCGCCTGTACTAGCCCACTGAATGCCGTGTCCGTCTTCCATATCCTGCCATGTTGTAGTGAAAACCAGCTTTCCTCCTTTAAAAATCTGCAGATACGGACAGCAGCCCTCTTCGACGGTCTCAATCAGGTTTGCCCCCTCCGCTTCCACCTCAGCTGGAGAAGCAGCAGCCGTCAATGACTCGCCTTCCACTCCAACCATCTCCGATCCGTCATCTGTAGATGAGTCTCTCTTCGTCGGTTCAAGTACTCGTCGCTCTCCAAACACAGGAATTGTGTTGATGATCACACGACGCAGCAGCAACGGAGACGATCGGGGCTTCACGCCATCCATCACGTTATTAAAATACTGAATATATCTGCAAAAACAAACAAACAAAAGGATAATTCACAATAAAACAATTTAAAAATGCCAAAAGTCGCAATTACCTGCGCTGCGACGGAATCGTGAGCTTCTCGACCGACGTTTTGCGCTGTTCCGCGACATATTCCAAGCTCTCCATGGCATTTGGGAACTGTCCCACCCACGCCAAGTAACAGGCGAGCACTGTGCCCGTCCGTCCTTTTCCTGTTAGACAATGCACCGCTGCGAGGTTCCTTTCATCTGCCTGGAGCCAGCTCTCAATAGACGAGCAGATTTTGAACACCAGGCCAAGCGGAGGCGCGGGGTGGCCTGGGAAATTGAACTCGAGTACCTGATTGTCGAAGAAAGTGTAGTCGTATGTCTCCTCACTCAAGTTCCAGATCATATAGTGGCCGCAGTGCTTGTCATTGAGGTACATGGCCACCAGGTCAATTGGATTGTCCTTGAGCAGTGTGCGGTTGGTACCTAGATTCATATTGGGGAAGCCCATGGCCACGAGGTTCTCGGTCACGTATGAGAAGTTAAGCAGCTCCAGGTTCACCTCGCCCGTGGAGCGGTCCAGCGCATAGCTGAGTCGACGTTGCAGCGCGTCCATATCGGCAGCATCCAGAGCCTTACGCGCCTTCACGGCGCCCTCTTTGGCCGCGCTGGCAGCCACCACCTTGGCCTTCTGCATAAAGCCCATCATAGTGGAGGCAGCTGCGGACATGGACTCGGAGTTAAAGCGCTCGGTTAACGTTGCCTTTAAGGTCGAAGTTTGATGATCATCACTCTTTGGAGAAACATTCTCCTCGCCAAAGAGTGTGGGCGGTGGCGGACTTGGAGCCGCCGTGGTGTCAGTTTCCTGGGCTGGGGACTGCGATCCGGTCGTGTCAGCGTCTGAGGAGGGGGAAGTGGTCTTGTCGTCGTGACTGCCCACGCCAGTATATGCCTCGAGTCGCGTCGCCGCCACGGGGAAGCGCTCAGACAGCCTCTTGAGCATGGTCGCTGCGACTTCCTTTTTCTGATGCGGAATCTACACGAGCGTTAGTGGCGGAGGTGATAAGAACATGGCTGACTGATTCTTTTTATCACCTGGTAATAGTGAGCTTGATAGTTTCGGACATTATTAATGGTACTGTAAGCTAGATATCTTAAGATAATTGAACATCTGAGAACACGATTTAGCGGAAAGTCTTATGATATAATAGGTGACACTGCACCAACCAGCGTCAACTTTCTCGTCGACAGCCACTATGACTGAACACCAGTACTTGTGGCGGGTGGACAGCGATGCAACGCGAGGTCGCCTGCTCCGAGCCACTCGTAACGTGAAGATGGGCGAGAGTATCTTACGTGACTGTGCATACGGCAACGTGGTGCTGTCGGGCAACCGTGCGGAGCTCTGCGCGGTATGTCTGCGAGCTGCAGACGCCGACATTTGCTGTGACGACTGCTCCAAGGTTTTTTTCTGCAGTGAAGAGTGTCGGGAGAAGCTGCGAGATATACACGAGAACGAGTGTGAAGCGCTGGAGGAGGTGGATCTGATAGCATCCAAGACGTCTGTGGACGTGGATCTGCTGCGGCTTCTGATCCGGATCTTGGCCACACGCAGGACGCTACGGACGGCAAGTTGCACAGTGATGAAGAGGGTAACGTGCGATCCAGCTACGCTAATGTGAAGGATTTGGTGCATGTGCTGGACAAGGAAGCTGGGCCGTGGGCAGACCATGTCCGTGCTGGTGCCAAGAGGATCCTGGAAGACCTGCCGGACGAGTGCCATTTGCCCGTGGAGGAGATTCTCGTTATAGCCGCACAAATGAACGAGAAATTCATACTCGCTCGATGCGTTGGATGAGAAGCATTTGGTGGCCGCAGTGGGGTTGTTTTCGATCTGTGGACTGATAAACCATAGCTGCCAACCGAACTGCACCTGGTCGAATGCAGGCGACAGTGTCATGGAGGTGCGCGCGTTGCGAGATATCGAGGAGGGCGAGGAAATTACCCTGAGTTATATTGACATTGATAAGGAGCGGAGTGAACGTCAGAAGGAGCTACGCGACACGAAACACTTCGATTGTCAGTGTGAACGCTGCTCAACGCCGCTTAGTGAGTCAGTCGACAGGGTTTTGGACGGCTTTCGATGCCCACGCTGCTCTGTCAAGGCGTCTGAAGAGGAAAATTATTTGCTAGCTCAAGTGGAAGATAAACTCGTGTGTCCAGACTGTCAACTAGATGTCTCAGTAGCTGCTGTCGCTTCTACAGTTTTCACGGCACGAACAAAGGTGGCTAAGGCAAAGCAGAGCCTTAACCAATTCAAGTATGCGGACGTAGTAACCCAGCTCACAGACCTTACAAAGGGCGTTGAGGTTCATGGTCAAATAATCCATTTCCACTGTAGTCACGGCATAGCAATTTCAGTGGCGCGACTGCTCTCGGACGCCTACATCAAGCTGGGCAACGTCGTCCAAGCTTATGAACTCCGCAAGCAGCTGCTGAAAGCTCTTCTGCTCGTGTCGTGGCGTAATCACTTGCCACTCGCGCTTGCCCACTTTGATAACGCTGAGGCTTTACGTCGCATGCTGTTGCACCCGACTACACCGCTCCTTGAGAACCTGGACTGCAACAGGAAATGCGAGCTTCGTACCAAGCTTTCAGCGACATTTGTGCCGTTTGTCTTGGCAAGCCTCATCCATTGCGCCACCGTGCGCTTGCGGCTCTGAAATTCTGAGCAAATGTCTTGCCTTTTGAAGCTGTGGGCAGATGATAGAGTGTGTTACAAGGAGCGGCAATGTAAGCAGATTTGTCAGTCTCAATTCAATTTTCCTTATGAGCTTACAACCTCTTCTTCATTCAAACGAGTCCTTGCGTCGTCGAAGGTTTTCCAGAACGCTGACCGGGTCTGTGCCCCCGACGGCATTTCGGATTGTTTCGTTGTGTACCCGCAAGAAAGGATTGTAGAGCATTTCTTCTCGCAGCGAGGACGGCACACTGGGCAGATTCTTCGCTCGACGGATACGAACCGAGGCGATTTTGTCGTGCAATGCCTGGTTGGACGGATCCACGCTGAGTGCGAAACGCAGATTCGACATGGTGTACTCGTGGCCGCAATACACTTTCGTGTCCTTCGGCAACGTGAGAATCACCTCGTACAATGCCCTGTACATATCCTCAGCCGTACCCTCAAAGAAGCGCCCACAGCCTCCGACGAACAGCGTGTCGCCAGGAAACAGCAGAGGTGGCGTTTCGGCGTCACCAGTGACGACATACGCCACGTGCGCTTTTGTATGGCACGACACATTCAGCACTTTCACTTTTGCTGCACCAATCTTGAGCTTCTCCCCGCCGCTCACTGCACGGTTCCTTGCTGGGATTAGCTCGTGCTCCGGTCCGGCAATCATAACGCCTGGATACTTTTCCGCGATCTCTTGGTTGCCGCCGGCGTGGTCTCTACAGATCCTCCAACAGTTACAGTAAGTCCCCAGCAATTCGGTTACCTACTTACAATCCGCATGGTCGTACGTGTGCTTGTGCGTAGTAAGGACGCCGAGAAACTCGCGCTTCCTCGCGGTCTCTTCCTCCTTCAGAATTGGCAGGATCTTGCTGGGCTCGGCTGGGTCCACTGCAAACATCGTGTGGTTGGTCTCGTCTACCACCACATAGCCTGCAGAAGTGAATATGCACAGTCAGGAATATTTTGATCATGGCACGCGACAGTATTGTCGTCGCACCATAGTTGTCTTCCAGCATGGGCACAACACGGACGCGGAGACTTGGATCATTGAGATATTTTTTCTTTGGTTTTGCGCCTGCTGGAGCTGATTTACTCGAGGCACATCGCCATTGAGACGTCAGCAAAGTCGTAGGCGACACCGAACTCGCTGTAAAAGCCACGGGGTTGCGCAACTGCCGCATGCAAATTCCCCGCAGCGGCAGCATCGTCTTGCTTGAACGAGGTGGAGAGCAGTTTTGTTGTTTTCAGAGCTTAGGATCAGACTACAGTTGAAGAGCCGTACATTTGGAGAGAGATATTGAACTACAGTATATAGTCAGGGGTTATTAATAGTAGTACAATAATCGCTCTCACTTCCGGTATCGTGGTCCGACCATATCCTAGGATTTGATATATTTTCTTAAAGAAAAAAGCTACGGTACATTTTCAAGGTTAACTGAGAGGCAAGGATAATAACATCTTCTACGTCTACATCGGGTCCGTAGCTAGTGTGACCGGCCGCTTTACTTCTTTCATCAGCGGCATTAAAAAGAATACCCGTATGGCGAAAACAATTCCCAATGGTACGCTTACCGTGTAAAGCTTCCCAAATTTCCTTGCTCCACTGCATTGCCTGCAGCTGGTCCACTTCATACGCCTTCCTGTCAATCTCAACACCGTCCTTGATCTTGTCGTACACCCTGTGAATTATGATCAGAAGCCTATGATCACTGTGTTGTTCTTCAAATGGTTGGAGCTGAGCGATTCGCGCCAGAATCCCCGTCAGTACACCCTCCTTAAAGCGATTGTATCGGTATTTTATGGGATATTATTTTATACCAGTACCGGAATGGAGAGCGATTACTGTACCCAGGAAAAAACGGTAGTAGTACAGACAACGACAATAAAAGCGCCCCATAGTAAATATTGACCAATCAAAAAGTAGTTAAGTTATGATGACCATCCAATAAATTGAGCTAAAATTCGGTTGGAAGCCAGCAATTCGAGGGTGAAGCCGCGCTGCACGATCACTTTCTAAACCTACGATGGGGACGAAGAAGCAGCGCGGCTACCCAATTAAAGAGAAGCTGGTGAGTGATGGTCGCTCCTCGGCTACGCCGAGTGGTGACCATTGTGATGAAGGAAGTAGTCGTAACAACAGTAAGTTGCAGGGACTGAAAGTCCAGCAGGGGAGAAAACCGAGTGCTGCTGCTTGCTCTTGACGGCGCAAGTTGTCGAGTGTGTAGCAGCACACGGAAAACCCCCGGTAACATATATTGGTAGGATTAGCAGTAGGATGGGGCTGGCGGCTCGCCAGCCAATGGTCCGTCGAAGTCCGGCTTCTGGACGCGAGCATCGCGTCCTGGAGGCACCTGAGCCTCAGGTTTGAGCTGGACGCAGTCCTGGCTCTTCCTCCACACTTCACACTCCCACTTGATCTAGTCGAAGCGCAGCTTCAACATGATCACCTTGTAGAGCTCACCACGATGTCCTTGGCATCTTTTAGCTGCGCTGCAGCACGACGCTTCGTCCTTGGTAGCGCTCTTCCTCCTTCTTGTCCTTCGCATGCATGAACTGGTAGTAGTAGCTTGCATACACGCATGGCGATGATGTTTGGCTCCCACTGAACGAGCTGAGCCTTGCTGACGGTCGATGCGCAGCACCTTCATCCCATCACGGCAATGTTCGAACTTGTCCTTCGGCAATGGCTTCGTCAACGCGTCGTCGATCATGTCGTCGGTGCTAACATGGCGAATCCGTAGCTGCTCGTCCTCCACGAGGTGGCGCACCAAGTGGAACTTGTTCATAATGTGCTTGTTCTTGCTGTGCTTGCCAGACTTGGCAGTCAGATAGATGCACGACTTGTTATCACCGATAATCTCCGGAGTCGCGAACTCCCAGCATAGTTCTTCACAGAGTCCACGTAGCCCCTGTAGATCTCTTAGCTGCCGTTCATTCAATGGCCAATATACTCTGCTTTCCGCTGTGCTCTGTGCGGTTAATCTTCTTTGCTTTTCTTGATCCGTACGAAACCACGTTACCATTGACGAACGTCACGAACCCGCTAACACTCTTTCGGTCATCAGGGTCATTAGCGTAGTCAGCATCGGTGTAACACGTCAGCTTGACGTCGTTCCCAATAACAATGTCCATCACTAAGCCGTGGTCTTGAGTACCACTCAGGTAGCGTAGCACCCTCTTTCCCATAGCGTAGTGTGTGTGGTCGCAGCAGGACAGGTACTTGCTGAGATTACGCACAGCGTGCGCAATGTCCGGCCTTGAGGCTGAGACCAGATATTGTAGTGCATCAACGAGCTCTCGGTACGGAGGCGGGGAGCCATCTTTCGCATCTGTGACCACCTCAGCGCGCAGCGCTTCCGGTGTTGCAACCGCGTTGCAACCCTCCATGTGAAATCGCTTTAGCACCTCCGTAATATGTTGCCGCTGGCAAAATACCGCATGTCGACGCTCGCTGTCGATTAGTATCTCCACGCCTAGTAGATACTTGACTGGTCCGAGAGGTGTGAGTTCATACTCCTCACTGAGTTGCTTAGCAACCTTAGCGCAAAGGTCACTAGGGCCGAGGAGCAGTAGGTCGTCGACGTACACCGTGAGCAACATGGTGACTTCTCCTCCCACTTTCCTGGCGTAGAGTCCGTAGTCAGAGTCGAGGCGCTCGAGTCCGATCTTCGTCAGGAATTTGTGCAATGTCTTGTTCCAAACGCGAGGCGCTTGCTTTAGCCCATACAAACTCTTTTGTAGCTTGCATACGTAGCGCGTAGAGTCTTCTCCGAAGCCTGGAGGCTGCTCCATGTAGACCTCCTCGTCGAGATCACCGTACAAGAACGCGATCTTGACGTCAAACTGCAAGATGGCCCATCCGCGTTGCAGCGCGTATACGATCACGCATCTGATTGTCTCAAATCTGATAACAGGTGCGTATGTTTCACTGTAGTCGATGCCCATGCGTTGTAGAAAGCCTCTGATCACCAGTCGAGCTTTATATCGCTTAATCCGGCCCGTAGAGTCTCTCTTGAGCGCGTACACCCACTTGCACGAAATGACACGCTTGCCTTTGGCCTCCGTGCGTCGCACGAGCACCGAAGTTTCGTGCTGCTGCTGTGAGTCCATCTCAACTTGCATCGCTGCTTTCCACTCCTTCCACTTCTTTGACCTTGCCGCATGCTTGTGACTAATGGGGATCTGCACATCCTTGATGTTCGGCTTCGTCACATTCGTCACTACGTAGTCCTTGAGTCGGGCGGATGGCTGTCGCTTCCGCTTCGGTCGCGAGGTAGCTGCACTGTCGTCTGGCGACGACTTCTGCGTCGTGCATGGCTCCCAGTTCTCGTCTTCGTGAGCATCACGTCGATTGTCCTTGGCCTTCGAGGCTCCCACTCGATTTGCACATGCTTTCGCCTTATTCTTGCCCTTTGTGTTCTTCCGCTTGGAACCTCCCACTGAAGCTGCTGGCTTCTTAGCGTCCTCGCTTGGTAGCTGTGGGTCATCACTTCGAGTCGCAGACTCGGCTTCAACTTCAACACCTTGGTTCTGGCTCTCACGAGCAGTAGCCAGCTTCGCCATTTTCGCTGCTCGCTTTTCTGCAAGCTCTGCAGGAAGCTGCAGGTACGTAGACATTGTCGTCCGGATCGGCACGATCGGGATCTCCGCAGGTAAGTCGTAGTCTCCGTAAGCGTAGGTGTTTGCAAGAAGTTGCTCAATATACACAGTGTTCACCGTGTACTTCTCATGTGCCTTCATGTTTCCATCTCTGCACGTCGTCACTGATCCTGTGCGCAGGTTCAGCAGCTTATAGCCCTTGGTCTTCTCGCTGTAGCCAAGTAGTAAGCACATCTGCGTCCTTGGAGTGAGCTTCTCCTTTCTCTGCCGAGAATCATCAGGGATGTGCGCGTGCACCAAGCACCTCCACGTGCGCAGCACGCTGAGGTCTGGCCGCTCTCCGTACAGGGCCTCGTACGGGGACTGCTGGTCCTTGAACACCGGCGTCGGCGTCTTGTTGAGCGTCTCAATTGCATGCAGGAAGGCTTCTCCCCATAATGAAACAGGCATTTGCGTAGCTTGTAACATAGATCTGACCTGCCGCATGGCGGTCTGGTTCGTGCGCTCCACGATAGCGTTCTCCTGCGGGCTGTAGGGATTGGATGAACGTGTGTCGATGCCGAGGTCCTTGCAGAAGGTCTCGAGCTGCATGTTGACGAACTCGCCACCACCATCGGAGAACAGCATCTTGATGGTCGCCTTCGGGAACTGGTTCTGGATCCAGCGAATCTGCTTCTGAATCAGCTCCGTGGCTTCGTCTTTGTAGGCTAATAGATATCCCCACTTGTATCTCGTAGCTTCGTCGATAATCAATAGAAACTGGTTTGATTTTGATATTGTATCCACTCCAACACTGCATAGGTCGACACAAAGCTTGTGCAAGGGCTTTGCAGAGCGAGACGGCTTGTGCTTGTAGCTCATGCGCTTCGTCTTTGACTCTAAGCATGGAATGCACTCATAGAGAGCAAAATTCTTCGACTGCATGTTGATGCCAAAGTTATAGTTTCCTGCCATAGTCTTGATAGTCTCCATGTTCACGTGGCCCATGCGGTTGTGCAGCAACGTCATGGGGTTCTCAGCTTCACTGGCCTTGACGCTCATCACGTTCTTGCTCTGACGTGGCGTCCACATGCGGTACATCCCGCGGATGTACTTGAAGCGCAGCTTCAATGTGTCCTTGACCAGCCACGTAGTCTTCTGATCATGCGAGAGGCGCACCTTGAAGTTTCCTTTAAATTGCATGTAGGTCTGCGAGATCAGGTTGTAGGCAGCCGACTTGGCGTAGCTCACGTCATCAAGGAGGCGCTCCTCGATCTTGCCCGTGTGCTCGTTCAGCACTTGCATAAGCACTGTGCCCACAGTTGCGCGCTCGGTTGTGCCGTTGCCGAAGACTAGCTCTGCAACTGAGTCTTCGTGTAGCTCCGTAAACAAGGTAAGGTCGCTCGAGACGTTGGTCTGCGCGCCGCTATCCAACACCCACTCCACCATGTCCTGGTCCATGCTCGCCGCAGATCGGATGAATCCCCGCTGGAATACCTACATCGACTAAATGTGGCCGGTCTACGGGCCAAGTTAAAGATCAAGGATGAGGATCCAAGGTACTGCGGGAACACGTGGATCACTCATCGAGACGTTGGGAGAT